ACCTATAAAGAATACTACAGGCTATTTTATGAGAAAATTAAAAATAATAATTTTATATTAAAAGAATTATTCACAAAACACCAGTGACGTAGTATTATAGACAAATACAGAATTACAAAACTGATTAAGTACATGAATATATACCAACTATAATTATTTCACTTTTATTCTTTGGAAGGCAGCTATGCTAATCACTATACCACCAACACCGTGGCTTCACTTCTATTCTTTAATCTTCAGATATTAATATAATTTTTAAAAATATATGCTAATGAATTCAGATGCATTATTTTAACTTTTAAAGAAAACTTTAGTTTAAAAAATCATTGGAGGCAGGAAACCACATTGCCATGTATGTACCTATGCAACAGTCCTGCATGTTCTTCACATGTACACCAGAACCTAAAATGCAATAAAATATGTATATTAAAAAAAGAATAATTCACAAATTCTCCAATAAAATAACACAAATTTGTTGATCATTGAATGAATATTTTTATAAATACGATATAATTTTAATTATTTGTTTTAGGTTTTTATTTTGATGCAATTTCAAATTCATAGAAAAGTTGCAAGAATTTTACAAGGAGCTCCAGTAAGCAAAATGGGAGCTGGTCAGGGCATACTGGAGCTGTCTCTCTGCCTTCCCTGTCTCTCTGCCTCTGTCTCTTTCTGTCTCATATCCATATGTGTATTTATTTAAAATATTGTTTTTCTGAACCATCTGAATGTAAGTTCAAGACATCATTTGCCTTTTCTACTAAATCATTTGGTGTGGATTTTCTAAATATAAGGATATTAAATTCAGGAAACTTAACATTACTATAACACTGTTATCTAATCCATAGTCCCTTTGTAAATTTCATCTGTTGTACCAGTAAGGTCCCTTAGAGAAAAAATATTTTTTTCTCTGGTTCATGATCCAATCCAATATCACATGCAGCAATAGTGGCCAGGTCTCTTTGGTTTCCTTTAATTTGAAACAGTTCTTCAACTTCTGTCTTATTTAACAGTGACTTTAAAAAAAAAAAAAAAAAAAAGAACAAGACAGTTGTTTTGCAGAATGTCCCTGAATTTGGGTATGATTAGTTTCGGGCCATGCATTTTTGGCGGGAATAAAGTGATATATCTTTCTCAGTATATCAAATCTGGGGGCATATCACGTTAATTTGTCTCAATATTAGCAATATTAACTTAGATCATATGGATAAGATGATGTCTACAGAACTCTCCCTTGTAAGGTGGAGATATATTTTGTGAAAATTATTCAAAGATCACATGAATCAAATTTGTACCCACTATAGTTAACAGCTGTTGATTTTATCAGTTGTCCTAGATTTGACCGCTGGGAGCTCCTTCAAGCTGCCTTTTTGTTCTTTTGATACACTTTCTTATGCTTTCAGAATGTTCTTACTTTTCAGCATGAGATACCTCAGGATCATCTTGTATTCCTTCTCTCCATGGAGCCCTGGCTTTTGGCAAACAATGATGTCTATAAGCCACAATTAGATACTAGATATGCTTATTGTTACATGTGTGTCATTGCTTAAGGCTTTCTCAGTGCTGTGTGTGTATAGACATGTATGCATGTCTCTATGAAAAATTTTTTTAAAAAATCAGCTGGGCATGGTGGTACGTGCCTATAGCCCCAGCTGCTCAAGAGGCTGAGGAAGGAGGATTGCTTGACCTCAGGAGTTCAAGGCTGTAGTGAACTATGTACTACAGCCTAGGTGAGAGCGAGTGCATAGCTCACTGCAGCCTTGAACTCCTGAGGTCAAGCAAACCAAAAATTCTGTGTCTAACAAAATAAAAATAAAATAACATAAAATAAATATATATCATTTTTAGTTGTTTGTTGTGAGTACATGGAAACATTATACATTGGACTTTTGGAACTGAATTTTTATCCTGTGACCTTAATAAATTCACTTAATAGTTCTACTGGAAGTTTGGTAGAAAAATTCCTTAAGATTTAAACTTATGATGTCTGCAATTAGAGAAAGTTTTAGTTTTTTTAAAAACGCTCTTTGCCTTTTATTTATTTTACTCGCCTTATTACAGTGGCAAGAATTTTGTTAAAGTTTGTGTAAGATTGATGTTATTACTTCTATTGTTTCTGATGAGTAGTCTACCATGATTCATATTATTGGTCTTCTTTTAGTAATATTTCTCTTTTCTCCGTTGGCTTTCAAGATTTTCTTTTCCTCTCTGGCTTGCAGTTGCTTATGACATGCATAAGTGTGATTTTCTTTGTGTGTATCCTGCTGGGGGATTGCTGAGCTTTTTGCATCTGTAGGTTGTTTTTCACAAACTTTGGGGACTTCATTGTTATTACTCTAAATACTTTTTATTCCCCATTCTCTCCTCTCCTCTTCTGGAACTCAAACTGCATGTATGTTGGTCTGGTTGACATTGTCTTATAGGTCCTTAAAGTTTTGCCATCTTCTTTCAATCTTTTTCTCTTTCTTTTTATATTTATATATATTTATATATGTACATTATTAAATGTATTGACATTTTCTCCAAACCCCATGTTCTGTTTCCACAAACTGGCACTTTCTGCTTGAGTTTAATTATTTTAGACTTGTGTCAACTAGGGCAAACTGTCAGACAAAAAGCTATATAAACACACAAACACAAATTGTTCTGTTGCCCGGGTTGGAGTACAGTGATGCAATCTTGGCTTACTACAAACTCTGCCTCCCAGGCTGAAGCAATTCTCCTGCTTCAGCCTCCTGAGTAGATGGGATTACAGGTGTGCACCGCCGCATCTGGCTAATTTTTGCATTTTTAGTGAGATGGGTTTTCACCATGTTGGCCAGGCTGGTCTTGAACTCTTGACCTTGTGACCCACCTGCCTCAGCCTCCCAAAGTGCTGGGATTACAGGCATGAGCCACCACGCCCAGCTTACAAATTTAATCCAATTCAGTTCTCTGATTTGAAACACTGACTCCCCTCCAGTTTCTGCTGCTTTTGCTCTCCAAAGCCTTCAAATTATTATTTAAGAATTTTTGGCCGGGCGCTGTGGCTCACGCCTGTAATCCTAGCACTTTGGGAGGCCGAGGTGGGTGGATCACCTGAGGGCAGGAGCTCAAGACCAGCCTGGCCATCATGGTGAAACCCCATCTTTTAAAAAAAATAATAAAAAATAAAAAGAATTTTTTTTTTTGCAGCATGATATACCAAAAGGTTAGTCAATACAAGCTACTCTGCCAATACCAGACATGGAAATGTTACTACAAATATTAGTCCTTAATTTTTCTAATAAGGAAAAATATGTAATTTATATCCAAATAAGAATATTTAGATATATTTACTTGTTTAATAACTGAAGTGATAGAATAGTAAGTTGTAAAAATAAATAAATTCTGACAATTTAAAAGACTTTTATAAATATTTAAGTTATAGTTGACACACTTGCCTTAGAATATCTCTTGTGTCAACATGAACCTATTTGTACACCTCTGGAATCTAGCTCATGCCACAAGCAGTTTTCCTCGTGGAAACAATAGCTCCTGAACTGCTGTATTTCCTATTTAATGAAGCAATCACATACTTGAATGCTGACTGTGTTAAGTTGCTATTAAGATTTCTAAATGTGCATCCTGTATTTCCGAACTTATCTAGTGGCAGTTCAGCCACAAATACCTCACAGACTGGCACCAGTTTGTGAAATGCACTGTGAATAATGTTAATATATGGGGCATTTCCCCTCTGGCTTTCTGTGCTGAGTCTCTCTCCCTCCCCCTCCACTTGTATTCATCTTTCCTACTCTGCTCTGTACTCAGGACACTTACACGCACAGGCTATGACCCCCTGCCTTCTGGCATCCTGTTGCATTTGGCCAACAGAAACATCCAGCAGGAGATAGAAAGGCAGAAGAGTGAGGTTGGAGTGTTTATTCCCACAGCTCTTCTTAACAGGTCATGGAGGGTGAGTTTTGTCCCTGCCTCTCCACTGTAAGTCACAGCTCCTGTCAGGTAGCCCTCTCCTTATGCCTACCCTCTTTAGGTACTGATCTACTTTGTCCCCTTGCCCTTCAGTCCTACAGAGGGTGAGGTCCCTCCTTTGTTACTAGTGTGGTATTGCATTTTCCTCCCCACCCCCTGCCACATCTTTCAATAGTGCTTTTATGAACTGTCTTCAGTATACACATATGCCATCTCTTTGCTGTCAGGACTCTGACTGAGACATTCTCTTTGGCTAGAATTTGTGTCTGGTTGTAAGAGTGAACAATTTGCACAAAAGCCAAAGAGCATCCTAGAAGAAAGAGAATGGAGACTCCAATACCCTCTGTTTTGAAGATTAACATGAAGAGGTTATCTCTGATGAACTGAGGTGGCTCCGATTGAGGGTCAACTGGCAGATGTGTACGTTCACTATGAGAGAAAGGAACCAAGCCCAGATTGTCAAGTAAAGAGCTGGCATGGAGCTCAGGACATGGCCGAGGCTGTAAGTTTCCTCCTGACGCACCCTTCCTGGCACTCTGGACATATATCTGAAAAGCATGTGTGTATGATTGTTCAGAATGAGCCAGGTAACTAAAAAGTGTGCCTTGTTGTATAGTGACTGTTGTTTTTACATATATTCTTTTAAGAAAATAATTCACCTTGAGAAACTCCTGCCTGACCAGTGGCATTGATGTGAATTGGTGCCCAGGTCCCTTTCTTCAGTGATGGGTGGCCAAATACAAGTGTGATAAATCACCACTATTCTTGCAGCAGTGACCAAAGATTGAATCTCACTATCAAACCACGTGCTTTCCACAAGCACTTTACCAGCAGCAACTGCACCAGATCCTGGCATTCTTCAGTGAATGAGCTCCTCATAGTTTCCAGTTTTCTTCCATTGTGAGGATAATAACCAGGACTGATACCTTCAGCAGAGGAAGCCTCTTTGGGTTCTTTTAGTATGGGATGTGAAATACCCCAAAGAGGGAGGCAATACATTTTTACAACAGAAGAGTAGAGCTCAGAGTTATTTAATTTGGGTATTTAAAAAAGATTCAGCATTATTTTATACCCCATGTTGGCAAATCACAAAAACAATCACAAAAACAGTTACAAGATATATCTAAAGTGGTAGGTAGCGGAGCCAATGATAACACTAGATTTAGAGTCTATATTATGTTCTCTATAGGTATTGGTGCTTTTAGGGCAGAAAGTTTGGTTGAGAAAAATACATTTACTAAGTAGATAAAATTCCTATTTCATGTATGTAAGACTGATTTCTGAGAAGATAGAATTTTAGAATATCCGATTTCTTACTGTATAAACTGGGGCTTGGTTAGATGTTAAGACCAATAGTAGGATGTTTGTGTGGAGAAAGGTCAACAAAGAATTAAATCTAACTGGTTAAATTTACCAAGAGTTATTGTTTTTGTGATCACGTTTTACTATGTTTGGGCCAGTGTGTGTGTATGTGTGTATGTGTATGTTTTCTTCAGCGTGTTGTTTTTGAAATGTATGTCTGCCCTTGGAGAGTTCTGTGATGAGAACATTTGAAAAACTCTTTAAAAACCTCTGCAGCTCTTTAAATGCTGTCAACTGTTGGTATATGGTCAAAACATAATTCACAATGAAACATTTGTTCTTTGGGATTAGTCCACATCCATCAGGCAAAAGCTTGTCTAGTCAGGTGCCTTTTCCAGAGGCTGTGATGGGTAGTCTTGCTGTCTGTATTGTTTTAGATGACTCATATCAAAGGTTAAATTCCTTGATCTTTGCTCGTGTCACGTGGCCAAACATGTGCTGGGTACAGAGTTTTTCTTCTTCATCCACCAGCAAAAGCTTCAAGGTCCATTCTTTTCTTTCTCCCATGTTGGGACTCACCTCTTCATTCCTCCATTCCCGTCATTGTTCTCTTCCACTTCCTCTCACTTTACTCACGTGCTGCCTGCCTGGAAGAGGAAGCAATGGATGAATTTCAGTTAATATTTTCCTGTAAAAATTTTAATTGAACAAGCAAAAAGTGTACAGTCTGGTGGAGAAAATACCTAATTTGAGATGACAGTGTTTGAGACATATGCTGTAACTGAAGCGAGCACACAGTGCTACAGCATGTATGGTAGAAAGCTCAAAAGGGAGGGAAGGTCCAAGAAGGTTTCTATATTAGAAGATGCTTTTCTAAATTAGAAGATACTTTTAGAAGATACTTTTCTATATTAGAAAATATTTTTAGAGGCGGAGGGAGGGGCAATTTCCTCCTCCCTCCCCTCCTTGAAAAAAAATTTTTTTTAAAAACCAAAAAAAAAAAAAAAAAAAAAACAAACCAACAACAACAACAAAAAAGAAAATACTTTTAGAGGTATAACTTGAAGGGTAAGCAGAGGCTAAATCATGAAAGAATTTGAACGACATGCTAAGGAGTTTTAAGGAGCCATAGAATACTTTAAAGTGGCCTTTTAAGGTTCATATCTTTGGAAGCTCTCTATAGTGGCATTACGGAGGATGCACTGTAGACAGAAGATCTAATGATACACAAATGAATCGGAACAGGTGAGAAATTGTGAGCACCTGACAGTGGGGCAATAAGTTTGCATAGGAGGAGACAGAATCAAGAGGCAATTTAGCATTTAGACTCCATGGTACTTGGCGACCAAGTGGATGGGCAGGTGGAATAGGGATGGTGAGGAGTCAGAGGTAGGTCCTCCAGGTTTCAGGACTGGTGGATAGTAGAGGCACTGGCCAAAAAAGGAATGTAGGCATAGAAGCAACTGTGTTTGGGGGTGAATGGATAAGAAATAATGAGTTTATTTTTGAACATATTGGATTTGAGGTGTCTATAGAGAGATAATAATCAGATGTCTTAAGGATGTAAAGAAAGGTTGTCATTTCTTATTCTTAAAATTGGTAATATTTGGTGACATTTTAGTTAATATCCAGTAACTTTTTATATTTTTTCAATCATACAAACATTGTAATAATTTTTTTTCTTAATCTATTTGGCCACACATAAACATAGTCCCAACTCCTTTGCACACAAAGTGTGTGAGTTATTTTTGCATCATTGCTATTATTGGATTAGAAATATATTTTACCTTTAAATATGAACTTAAATTTCTTTGTTTGCATTATTGTTTGATATTTCAGAAAAAAACACTTTTTATGTACACATCTTATTTTTCTCCATATAACAGTGCTACAAGTAGTTTTTATCAGATGAGGAAACTAAGGCTCAAGGATAATAGGCAAGTAGTTAGGCTTATTCAGAGAGGGGTCAAAAAGTGACGAATACGGCCAGGTGCGGTGGCTCATGCCTGTAATCCCAGCACTTTGGGAGGCCGAGGCGGGTGGATCACGAGGTCAAGAGATTGAGACCATCCTGGTCAACATGGTGAAACCCCATCTCTACTAAAAGTACAAAAAATTAGCTGGGCATGGTGGTGCATGCCTGTAATCGGAGCTACTCAGGAGGGTGAGGCAGGAGAATTGCCTGAACCCAAGAAGTGGAGGTTGCGGTGAGCCGAGATTGCGCCATTGCACTCCAGCCTGGGTAACAAGAGCGAAACTCCGTCTCAAAAAAATAAAAAAAATTAAAAAAATAAAAAGGTGACTAATACTTGAGAAGTTGGCCTGCAATGGGTCTGCAGAATAAGCAGAACCAGAAGTGGATGTCAGAGCTGGGATAAAAAGGAAGAAATTGGGTGGTGACATGGGAGAGTCAAAAGGTCTTCCAGCAAGCAGCAGAAGTGGCAGAATATTGCCTGAGGCTGGGCCTCTTCCACCTATGTGGAACAGAATGGCACCTGGCCTATTTCAAGAACCTCTGGGCACTTCACATTCAATTCCATACATTAAGAACATCTACTATGTGCTTGGCACAAGGCTAGGAACTGGGGATATAAAGAATAAATTAGACAGTCCTTCCTCTCCAGGGGGCTGGGGGTGGTAGATATATAAACAGTTGACCATATACAGTTGTTGAGTTCTAAAACAGAGTAAGACTAAGATAGCTTGAGAATAGGGAAGAGGGAGTAGTTAATATTATGTAAGAGTGCAGTAAAGAGAGGATGAAGAAAAATGTTACATTTGAGCTGAACCTTGGAAAGGCTGGTGAGACATTTCCTAGGAGGAGAGGAGGACAAAGATGTTCCAGGTATGGTAAAAAAGAGGGAAAAGCCTGGAAGTATACAAGCTTATGGGTGGATATAGGTTGATGTAAAACATACTGCAAGGATAGAATAGCTCATGGAAGAAGACTCAGATAGAAAGGTGGACATTTGACTGCCAACTCAATGCAAAGTACTCAAAGGCAGATAGAGAGGATGGGAGAGGGAAGGAAACTCACAGACCACCTCTCTCTATGGTATAATCAGCTTGACTGCTGACACTTGCACAGCCCTAGAGACTTTAATAATCTCTATGTCCCAAAGATTGGACATCCGTGGGAAAGTTTGGTTTTGAATACCCTGCCTTTCTTATGCTGGAGTCCGAACAAGGTTTTGGGCAACTAGTTTTCTGCATATGTTTACTTTAGGTCACAGACACCGCGATCTTGGGGTTACTTGGATCTGCTCACTCCCTGAAGTGAAGGTAACTATGAAAAATTGGGCAGAAATTAAGTGTCAATTATGGGAGAGAGGGCTGCATGAAAAAGTCGGGTATCATACTCCCCTTGAGGTCCAAGTGGGCATGAGCACCTCGCAGAGAAGGTAGTTTGTGCTCAGACACAGGTGTGGACATCAAGATATATGGGAAAATGTGGAAACATTCTGCAAATGAACAGACCGCTTGTGTCCCCAGGAGCAAGCTTACGTCAGCAAGGCTGTTTATAAAGCATTTATATCGGACATGGGAGAACTGTGCAGGATTCTGAGCAATGGGTAGTGAAAGGGACTTTTTAGGAAGAATTATTCTGGATGAGTGGAGAGCCTGGAGTCCCTGATTAAATTTGCATTTTTAATTCCTGGGTTCTTATGAAGTGGAAGGATGCTTTCATGTAATTTTCATGACAAGCAGATTGAACGGACACCCATCAGCCTCTTACTCTTCACAACGGAGGGTTCTGGAGTTTAGGGTGGACATAGGACTGAGTTAAGGAAAAATGGCCTGAAGCCTGCATTGAGTAGCTGAAATCAGCAGGTGTTTATCATCCCTGTGCCATGCCAGTGGCTTTTTCCCCCCAAGTGTTTTTTATCTGTGTTTGCTTGAACCTCAGGGGACAATCTGTTCAGTCACCATAAGGGATACCTTCAAAGAGTTTTCTTGGACAACGTCCACTCATGTGGTCAGCCGTGACCTCATCTCCCTGCTCCGGGGGCCCTGGTTTGGGGCTTGATATCTTGAGTTTCTGCTTGAATAAGAAGCAGAAAGGCCCTTGTTTTGAATGTCTCTCATTTTGGAACACAACAGGACCACCAGTTAGCTTGTTAAATGTTTTTCCAGATTTTTTAAAATAATTTTTAAGTAATTTAGCCCATTGCCCTGCTTATTGTCAAGAGTCATTAGGAAAGCCAACTGCTTATAATCTCTTCACAAACATACACAAAGTGGGAGGTTTGGGGAGGTGCACTGGTGGAGAGAGTAAGGCTTTTCAATTTCTGGCACAAAATTTGGAACTGTAAGGAAAGGATAGAAATACTGGTTCAGACTTTCTTAAATTGTGAACTTGATGTTTTTACCAGCGACCATGATACTCATCTCATGGAAATTTTCACACTTCTCTTTCTTAGCTGTCTCTTTGAATTTGAAACTGTCCAGAGAGGGCTCCATATGCCCCCATTTTATTTATTCTTGAAAGTGAGGCCCCTTTGACTTCTGAAACCCTTTGGAGAAGCCAGGTATCACGGTACCTTTCTCCTGCCTGGCTCAACCAGGTATGGGTACAAATTCAAGTCCCCCAGCAACTATATTCATATCTTCCTCCAGTAGCAAAGGGATTTGTACAGATTCAGTGTGAAGAGAAGCTCCAGGGATGGGTGGGGTGTGTGAGAGGATTGGAGACAGATCTTCCTGCAGCCCTGGAGAGTGAGACCGTGCACGGGACTGGACCTGCTTCCAGAACCAGCCTCCTCTGCCAGAAACAACTTATTCCCTGAAGAGCCTCTGACTCATGCCTCTAATAGGACTATTATGGTTTCCTGGTGGCAAATTTGTCCTTTTGAAATGTTGGGCTTTTTAAATTTCTTTTTGAAATTTGAATTATCAATTGATCTATGTAGAAAAGTTCTCCTGGTCTATGCTTTCATTGTACTTTTTGAAGCTCAATTTGCAATATCCATTTTTAGAACTAAATTTTAAACTCCTTGCATGCAAAGAATAGTTGTCTGTCCTAGTTACCAGTGTATGTCCAGTATCTGGCATAGTGAAAGGAGCATTATTCCAAAATAATTTTTCATTGAACAAGCAAATAAGTGAGTGAGTGAATGAATGAATGAATGAATGGTGTGTTATTCCTATGTGGTTCTACCAAGGAAGAAAGATTTTAGGAGACATTAAATCTCCCAAAGCAATAGCAGGGGACAACTAACAAACATGTCCCAGAATTTTCCTTTTTTTAATTTTTTATTTATTTATTTATTTTTAAAGACAGGGTTTCACCATGTTGGCCAGGCTGGTCTTGAACTCCTGACCTCAGGTGATCCACCTGCCTCGGCCTCCCAAATTGCTGAGATTACAGGCATGAGCCACCACGCCTGGCCCATGCCCCAGAATTTTCTTAGGTTTTCATTGGGACAGAGTTCAGCAATTGTTTTCATCTAGTTTCTAGGCCACAATAGAGTAGAAGTAAATTAAGGAGGTGGGATGCTGCTCGAGAGAGGCGAATCTGATGGGAAGAAAGAGAACAACCTAGAGTCTGGCAAAAGAAAGGCCTAATTTTAGGAAAGTGTAGGGGTGTGAGGCTATTGAATGCAGGGGCAGATGACCCTAAATTTTACAAGCATTGAGATCATCCCTA